TGCCATGATTTTATTCTCTTTTATTGCTGAGTAATATTCCATTGTGTATATATGCCAATTTTTTTAATCCATTCATCTATTGAAGGGCATCTAGTTTGGTTGCACAGTTTAGCTATTGTGAATTGTCCTGCAATAAACATGATGTCGCTGTGCCCCTGTAGTATGCTGTTTTTAAGTCCTTTGGGTACAGACAGAGGAGTGGGGATAGCTGGGTCAAATGGTGGTTCCATTCCCAATTTTCCAAGAAATCTTCATACTGCTTTCTATATTGGCTGCACCAATTTGCAGTCCCACCAGTAGTGTCTGAGTGTACCTTTTCTCCACATCCTCACCAACACTTATTGTTGTTTGTCTTCATAATAGCTGCCATTCTGATTGAAATGAGATGAAATCTTAGAAAGGTTTTGATTTGTATTTCTCTAATTTCTAGTGATGATGAACATTTTTTCATATATTTGTTGATTGATTGTATATCATCTTCTGAGAAGTGTCTGTTTAGGTGGTCATTAGAATTTTGATAGGGATTGGATTGAATCTATAGGTTACTTTTGAGTTTTATGAATATTTTCGACATCAAGTGGGTGGACAGATAAAAAATATGATCCCATTCTGCTTCCTCTAAGGACCCACATAGACTAAGGATGAAAAAGATATTCCATGTAAAAGGAAGCCAAAACAGAGGGGGGAGTGGCTCAATATATTAAAAAAATGGATTCTGAGTGGAAAACCATAAAAAGAGAAAAAATTGCTCACTATATGATAATGATAAAGATATTCATCAAGAATTTATATATAAATATATATGTACCCAACATTGGATCACCAAAATAAAGTAGATATTAATATATTTGAAAGGAGAGACAGACTGCAGTACAACAGTAAGAGACTTCATTATTCCATTTCCAACATTGGTCAGGTCATCCCAACAAGAAAGTCAGTAAGGAAACTTTAAACTTGTACCACACTCACATCAATTGGATGTAAGAAATATTTATATATCTTCCATACAATAGCAATAGAATATAAATTCTCCTCACATGTACACTCAACATTTTGTAGCATATATTATATTTTAGACCTCAAAATAAGTCTATACAAATTTAAGAATATTGAAATCATATTAAGTATTTTTTCTGAATACAGTGGCATGAAACTAGAAATAAATACAGATTGAGCACCTTGAATCCAAATATTCTAAATCTAAAATGCCCAACAGCTGAAGCTTTTTGAGTGATTACATGATGCCATAAGAGGAAAATTTCACACCTGATCTGATGTGACTTCTCAAAGTAAAAAAGTAGTTACACTAAAATAATATATAAATTCATATTGGGGGTATATATGTAAGGTGTATATGAAACATAAATACATTTTTTATTTAGACTTGGATCACATTACCAAGATACCTTATCATGAATATCCAAATATTATAAAATACCCCCAAATATGAAATCATTAACTTATATTTCCAAGCATTTTGGATAAGGATATTCAACCTGTAACTGGATAAATGTTGAAAGACTCACAAATATGTGAAAATTAAAATATACTCCTGAACATCCAATGGGTCAAAGAAGAATTAAATTTCAATTAGAAAAAAAAATTACTTGAGACAAATAAAAATGAAAACAGAATGTACCATAACTTACTGGATGTAAAATCAGTCCTCAAAGGGAAGTTTGTAGCCATAAATGTCTAGAGGACAAAAGAATGATCTCAAGTAAGAAACCTAGTGTTATACTTGTAAGAACTAGAGAAAGAATAAAGTAGTACCAAAATTAGACAAAAGAAGGAAATAAATATCAGAGCAGAAAAAAAGACTAGAAAAATAATAGGAAGTAAAAGGAAATCTAAAAGTTCATTTTTTGAAAAAATAAGTTGAAAAATCTTTATCTAGATAAGCTAACAAAGAAAATTAAGAAAAGAGCCAAACAAAAATAAAAAATAAAAAATGTGGAGCTATTAAAACCAATACCACAGAAATACAAATAACCATAAAGAGTATTATGAACAACTATATACAAATCAGATAACCTAGAAGAATGCATGAATTTCTAGAAGCATACAATATATCAAGGCTGTACCAGAAAGGAATAGAAAATATGAACAAACTAATAATGTGTACAAAGTCTGTCATCAAAAAAAAAAAAAAAAAAAACTCAGGTTCTTATGGTTTCACTGTTGAATGCTACCAAAGTGTTAAAAAGAAGTTAATTGAATAAATTGAAAGCTATTCCATGTCCATGGATTGGCTCATTAATCCTCTTCAGACTCTTCTAAAACAATGGAGTACATTCGAACTCAACTCAAGAAGTCACAATACTCTGATACCAAAGCCAGACAAGGATACTACAAGAAAAGGAAACTACAGACCAGTATTCCTGATGATCATAGATGCAAAATCATCAAACAAATTCTAGTGAATTGAACTCCATAGCATATTCAAAGATCATTCACTATCATTATGAAACATTTATTCCTGAATGCAAGGATAGTATAGAACACCTAAATCAATAAATGAGATGGAGAAGTTAGTAAAAAGAAGGTAAAAATGCCACATAATCACCTCTAAAGATATAGAAAATGCATTTGACACAATTCAATATACATATGTAATAAAACCTTTGAAAAATGGATATAGAAGAAATGTACCTCAACAGAATACTGTATTTTGCAAGCCCACAGCTAATATCATAATCAACAATGGAAAGTTGGATGCTTCTTCTCTAAGATCAGGAACAAAACATGATTTCCTTCTTTCTCACCTTCATTCAGCATAATACTGGAAGATCTTGCTGGGGCAATTAGGCAAGAAAAAGAAATAAAACACATCTCTATAGGAAAGGAAGAAGTGAAATTGTCTATTTCTGATGACATGATCTTATATAGAGAAACCCCTAAAGACTCTACTCAAAAACATTTAAAATTTTAAAAAAAGTTAACACAGATTAAAAAAAAAATCCAGTGAAGCTGCAAGTCGCAAAAACAACATACGAAAATACTTAGTGTTTCTATACCCTAACAATGAACTATTTGAGAGAGAAATTATGAAACCAATTTCATTTAAAATAACATCAAAATTGAAATACTTAAAAGTACATTTAATCATGGATATCAAAGAGCTACACATTAAAAACAATAAAACACTGATGACAGAAATTGAAGAAGACACAATAAATTAAAAGCTATTCCATGTCCATGGATTGGCTCATTCTCTATCTCCTGCTCCCATTCTCAAAATTGCTTTTCTATTATTTTTTCCAAGTTAATTGTTTTTGTTCTTATACTTATGATTTTTTTAAGTAGAGTAGTTTTTTTTCCCCTACAGGAAATATTTGGCAGTGCATGGAAGAATTTTTTCTTCTCACAACTTAGTGCTGGTTGTACTACTAGCATGTAGTGGGCATAGGCCAAGGCTGCTGCTAAACACACTACAATGTATGGAAGCCCCCTCTAACAATCATCTAGTCTGGAGTATCCTGAGTTCTTCAGATAAGAAAATATTGCCTTGAAGTAACATACCTTTTTCTCAATCTACCTGCAAAGTGTGGAAAAGACAAAGGAAATCAGAAATGATGGTCAATTGTTTCAAGGAACTCAGATTACTGAGAAATGTTTGGAAAAAGATTACCAAATTCTCAAGTTAGGTTGCCTACTCTTCCAGTTGTAGTAATTTCTTGTTGGTTGGGAACCAGCTGCAAGAAAACCCAAAACAAAACAAAACAAACAAAATAACCCCTCTTACCTAGGTCAACATTCTTTACCATTATATATTAAGCATCTTGCAGTATTATATACTAGATCACTAATTTGTTCTTATGATTTGCATTAAAAGTTTCACTGATTTTGCCTATTCATCATTAATTTTTTGTCATTTTGTCAGTTTAAAATGGCCAGTGGATCTACCTTTGCCTGAAAGACAGACTTCATTGCTCTTAAGATTGTGAGACATTGAAAGGTTTTATATTTTGATTGTGGCATGGCTCTAATTGTACTAATCTAGCTAGAACTCAGTTCTTGCCTTAATTTTGCCTTGCTTAAACATAAAGCTATTGTCACTTGTACTATATTATTTATACAATGTGGTAAATGTCACCTTCCCCTAAGGTGACTTTGAACTTGTAGGAATCCTTTGTTTTGATTAAAATACAATATGTGGGGTGTCAAGTATTTCCATTCTATAGACAGGAATAATTTCACAGAAATAGATGGCTGTAAATCCTTATATGTGGAACAGATCTCAATTTCAGAAATGGACAGAATCCAGGTGGTACTTGAAGGGGAATTGTGTAGACATGTGCTTTATCTTGGCTTTTTTTTTAAAAGAAAATTCAGAAAACTAAACAAACCAAAAATGTGACAGGCTCTAAAATGATCTCATGGGAGATGAAGTCTCAAAAGTTCATTGTAACTAAAAGAACTTCCAGATTCAGAAACCAAAACGGGGAGAACCATAGACAAATCTGGAAAGAATTGTTTTCTATTTCAAATCTATGTAGTGTCATAGCTTCCCTTCTCTCTTCACTGTGTAGGTCTCTTATATTATTTTTGAAATATTAGGGATAGATATTAAAAAGATAGGACAGGAGTTTATAAAATTTCCTGTATAAATTTTAAGATGTATATACTTAACCAAATACAGTTTTTTAAAATTTTAATTCCTTTGTGTTATAGGATAATTTATCTATATATTTAAAGTGATCGAGTCTCTCATTGTAGTATATCAAGAAAGGGAAAATGTGAATGTGCTTGAGAAACCACAATAAGCCAAGCAGAACATCAGAACCTTAGATTTAATAGATAAGTATTGTGAATGCATTGTTTTAGTCAACTTTAATTTATAATACCATGAAACATGTTAAGGGAATTTAGTTTCTCACAGGGTTGAATTGCTGTGGCGTGTGTACCCTGCTTTGTTTTAATATTCATAACTGAATTTCATGAAATAGTTTTGACTTTTAGATTTTAAGAAATTAATCTCTAATTTTATTTTTTTTCAGTAAATATCACTTCTGCCAGGCAATTAACCGGATGTAGTCGCTTCAGCCATATTTTTCCTTCATCTGCTTACCAGCACATTAAGATGCATAAGAGAATTCTGGGACACCTATCTTCAGTCTACTGTGTAGCATTTGACCGAAGTGGGAGAAGAATTTTTACAGTGAGTTTAAAATTTATGATATGAAATTGTTACATACTTATAAGAATTGAAGATAGATTTCATGGCATTGCATTGTGCTTTGTAAGGAGTTCATCCTTTTTGGACCTGAGAATGCAAGAAAAGATGAGTAGGAATTTAATTTTTTTCCTTGTTTTATATAAATAAAGGGTGAATTATAATGTTCATTATCTGTTGGGGATTTAATTTAAAAAATAATTCTTCAGAATATATTATATTCTAGGAGTGGTTAATCTATGGAAAATGAGTGTATTCATTCCATTTTAGCAAATATTTATTTAAATGCATTTTCTGTGTGTCACAGTGTAATTGCTGACAGTTTTGCTTAATTAATGATTCCATCATCCTTGTGACTGAATAGTTGAACTGCACAGTTAATGAAGAGTAGTAGCTGGGCATGTTGGCACACTTATATTCTTATCTCAGTGACCCAGGAGGCAGAGACAGGAAGATTGCAAGTTCAAAGTCAACTTTAGCAACTTAGCAAGGCCCTGTGCAACTTAGGGAGACCCTGCCTCAAAAAAAAAAAAAAAAAAAGCCAGGAAAGTGGCTCTGTGGTTAAGGGCTCCTAGGTTCAATTCCTGCTACCAGAAACAAAGAGTCATTATTTTGTATCTTTCTTTTACTACTAGTTATTTTTAAAATTGAACTTTTATTAACCAAGTCATACTGTTTGCATTTCTAAGAAATATTAATTTTATTGCTTCCTTACATAGGGGTGCATTTAATAGCATAATCTTCTTTTTCTGCTTATAGAAGAGGAAGTGGTTTGGATTTGTATTTTGAGAAATTATGACTCCTGAGATTTCATTTCACACTTCTCTTACTTTGATAACTTCATGTCTTCAAGTATATCACCTAAATATTTGGATGTTAATGATCACACTGAGGATGGTGAATGCCATCTTTTAATAGATTATTAAGTATCTTACCTGCCACAGTAGAATAAAATTGCTTTTTAATATATTTAAAGCTCTTGAAATAATAGGAAGTTTGACATTCTGTTTTCACTGAAGATTATTAATGGCCTCTGGTTTCCTGAGAAATGAGGGAGACTTTAAGTTGAATTTAGAAGTATTTGTAGAAAAAATATTCAAGCAATTAAGAAAAAAGAATGTTAGATGTAAGGAAAAAATAAGTAAGCAATACCTAATGACAAATCATTTACAAGCAAGTTTAAAATATTTTGAGTTCTGAGGAGTTTTGTATAGGTACCAATGCCAAATTGGACAATGCTTTATCAGTCTTATCATTTGGATATAGTTTGTGTTTGATACTAGATCTGAGTTATAGAGAGTAGACTCAGAAGCAAAGGTTTACAAGTAACTTAAAAATATTGCTTTGTCTTTTAGTATTTTTAGGGGAGTGGATGGCAAATTTTGGCTTCATTATTAATCTTCTGTCCTTTTGTGTTACTATAGGGTTCAGATGACTGTTTGGTGAAAATTTGGGCTACAGATGATGGACGTCTCCTTGCTACACTTCGAGGGCACTCTGCCGAAATTTCTGACATGGCTGTTAACTATGAAAATACTCTTATTGCCGCAGGCAGCTGTGATAAAGTTGTAAGAGTATGGTGTCTTCGAACATGTGCACCAGTTGCTGTCCTGCAGGGACATTCAGCTTCTATTACTTCCATACAGGTAAGAAAAATGATCTCTCTAAAGTATGTAATGCAGATGAGAATTCTCTCATTTTTATTACATTGTATGGATAATAACACAAAGACTGGCACCAGAAAATTACCCCCACAAGGGTTTTTTGTTCCTACCCTGAATACAGGTTGGTTCAAAGTTCCCTTTTCATATAAATCTATTCTCCTTAGAAACAAATAAAAAGATGATTGAAAAGATTTTTCAAATATAGTGTGACATGTTTTATTTATGTCACTTGTATTTTTGAAGAAAGGAGTAAATGTTTTCTAAAGTGCACTAAAACCTGTTACCATATAAACAGGTTTTAACTAGAATATTGGCATGCTTTGTTCTAATATTTAATGCAAAATGTTTGACAATCAAATTTAACATGTGTGTTGTCTAATCTTGGGCAAATTTTTATTTTGTAGTTTCAGTGATTTCTTGTTTCAATTATATATTTGCAATAAAATACATTGGCATCTTTTAAGTATTTGACCATATAATATTTTTACTAGATATTGATATTTAAAGGCCTGGATGTCCCAAAAGACCTTTTATTTAACAGAACTAACAAAGTTTCAGTCTTGTCTACTTACTTGTGTTGACAGCAAAACAGAAGTCCTTCTGAAAGTTTTACACTCTGGTTTAAGATGCCACTGTTGAAGATCATTACTCCCATTTTTGGGTGTTAGTTTAATAATATATCACCTTTTATAGGGAATTAACAATGATTGGCTTCAGTGTGTAATGGGTTTGAAATTTTTCTTTTTAAAATTTTGATTAGTTGAAATTATTTAATGGATTTTAATTTAAGGTTATCTGCTCCATGTGTTCCCACTATCATGTCTGACTTGATTATTGGACATACTTTCATGTAACATAAAATGACTATTTGATTATATTGAAAATATTTATGATAGTGTTTAATTTTTTTCATAATTTCACTTGATTTTTTTTTCTTATTTTGTTTACAAGTTGGGGTACCTTGTAAATCTATGTGCCCCTTCGCTGACTCACTCTTTCCCTTAGTGATCTCATATAGTTTCATGGCTTTGAACTGCATCTGTAAACTTATAACTCTCAAACATATGTAAACTTATAACTCTCAAACATATCCCGATCTTTGAACTAACTGTCTTTTAGCTCTTATACTTGTTTATTCAGCTACATACTTGGCATCATCACATGGATATCTTTTAGGCATCTGAAACAACATATTCGAATTAAACTCATCTTCCTTCCTCAGACCTATTTCTCTTCAAACTTTTCCCATCTGTATTAGCTTTCTGTCACTATAAAATGCCAGAAGAAGATTACTTTTGAAGAAAAGATGATTTATTTACCTTGCAATTTTGAATGTTATGTCCTAATGGTATAGTGTAGGCTTGGCAATTATCCTTTGGCTGTACTACTTCACAGTGTAAATAGCAAAGGCAGGAGCATGCTGGAGCAAGCAATCCCACCATGGTGGAGACATTGTGTGTAAGAGATGACATCATCCAAAAGGAAGTCAGAAAGACAGACTGGTGTCCTATAGTTCCTTGAGGTTACACACTCAAAGACCCTCTAAGTACTTCCCATTCGACTATGCCTTCCAATAGAATCACCCTGAGTATTAATCCTTTAACATGGTCTTCGAGGAGACATTCAACATCAAACCATAGCAACATCTAAACACATGACAATTTCATGCTTCTAATTTTTCAGGGTACTCATCCCTGACTTTTCACTGAGTGTCCACTTACTAGCTAATGATGTTGGCTAACCTTTAAAATATATATATAGAATCTTGCAAATTTTCATGACTTTTATCAGTAGTGACCTATTTTAAGACACTGTCATCCGTGGCCTAGATTTTTTTCTCATTAAAAAAATTATTTATGTGTTCTAAACAGTTACACATGACAGTAGAATGCTTTTTGATTCATTGTACACAAATAGAGCACACTTTTTCACTTTTCTGATTGTATACAAAGTAGGTCACACCATTGTGGCCTAGATTTTTAAACTAAACTTCTAACTGATCTTGTTTCTTTTCTTCCCTTTTCCCTGCCCTAGTATAGCCTCTACAGAGCATCCAGTTGCTTTTAAAATGGAAGTTAAATCATATCACTGGCAATGAGAACCCTCAACCACTTCTAGTCTTAGAATTAAAGTCAGTCTACAGTAAACCTTGATGTCCTACCTTCTAAGCCAGCTCCCTCTCTTTGACCTCATCTTCTAACACTTGATTTTTTTTCTCACTCTGGTTTAGCTGCCATCTTCTTTAATTTTTTGAATATTCGAGGTCTTTGCTTTTGCTATTTCCATCTCTGGAATTGTCTTCCCCGAATATTCACATGCTTTGTTTTCTTAATTTTTAAGTAATTTATGTAAATGTCACCTTCTCATGGAGACCTCTGACCACTTTGCAATTGTAACCCACAAGTACTCTGTTATCTCATCTTTTTTGTTTCATTTTTCTCCATAGTAATGATTACTATTTGGCATTCTATACATTTTTTTTCATTATTTCTTTATTAACAGTTTACATAAATTTATAGTATATTATCTTTCCAGTTTCTCTTCTATTACTTTTAAACACAATAAAATGATCTGCTAATAGTGTTTAGCCTTGAATGGTAAAATTATGTTACTTTATTGAGTTTCTTATTTTTTCTACAATTGGTATGTATTTGTAATCCAGAATATACATTTCTTAAACAACCCCTAATATAATTTCTTATTTTAAATGTTTTCATTAAGGAACATTAGTGGGTCAGATGCCCATTGTGATGGATGAGATAAGTTAAATGTAATGGAGGTAATAAAGGTTTTAGTGAGTGTTTTTTTTCAAAATTAATAAAATTATATACTATTGTTAATTTTATCATTCCTAGAGATCAAAGATTGCTGATTTAGAGGCCAGATGGTAAATACCTTAGATTTAGAGACCATGCAATCTCTGTCACAGTTACTTAACTCTAATTTTATTGTGCAAAAGCAACCATATACACAATATAAAGTGACCATGTTCCAATAAAACCTCATTTGCAGAAAAAGTCTAAAAGCTGGATTTGGTATGTGAGTCATAGTTGGTGGACTTTTGCTATAGATTGTGAATTAAGTTTTCTAGTGAAAGCTTTTCTGTTTTAGGAAGGAAAATATGTATAGACACTCTCAGAGTCCTTATTTCTCTACTGTACTTCAGTTATTAATGGATAATTTTTACTGATAATTTTTTGTTTTAATTCAATTTATTTTTTAAATTTTTATTTGTTTTTTCAGTTATACATGAAAAAAGTATTTTGACAAATATGTTATGAATAATTTTGTTTGTATTTAACTTTGAAGTCTTTAGAGGTTCTGTGCTTATAAATAAGAAAACTAAGTGATTTAATATCTATAATGATGATTTTCTTTTGAGTTCAAAATGTATTTCAATCCTGTGTATCTTGATATGTAAATGTAATCTCAATCTCAAATGGAAATTATTTATTATCTCTATTTGGGATTTTAAAAACTCACAGGAATCCTAGCTATTCTGGTCTGATTTTCAGATTTATTCTTGTGTCTTAGACACCAAGAGCCTGGTGGCCCACCCTTCTCTAAGATTTTCTTGTTTGAGCATGTAAAATACTGATGGTCAAAGCCTGAGAAGCTATATGATAAAGGACATGGTTTTTCTAGCATAATAATAGTTCTTTAAAAATGGTAACTTACCTATATTTTTTCTTAGTCTATTTTTCCACAATGATTGAACAAAAATTTGATGTATTTAGTTTATACATGAATACAATTGAAAATGGTTTAAATTTTAAAAGATCAAAATATACTTCATTGAAGTTGGTCTTTAAGATATTAAAACTCAAATACTTAAATATTAAATTTTCTAATCATAGTTTTTAGGCATATTTCTGATGTTCTATCCATAACTCTAAAATTCCACAGTTGTTTTTACATAAAAAATGGTTCAACTAGTAATGACCTCATGAGTATTCTCCACTAAAAGCTATTAAAATATTATTATTGGAGTATTATGTTAAATGAGCCCAAGGTAGTTATTTTTTTAGGACCAAAGTATTTTATCCTAATGTCAACTACCCTTTTATTTTATTTTTTGGTATTTTACATTTTTAAAAGTTATTTATTATTCTAGGAAATTTAATGTGTTGAAACTGAAATTCTTAAAAGAATTTAGTTAATTACATTATTAAAAAGTGATTATAATCTGAAAACATGCTTTGATTGAAATTATTTTGAACATAGAAACTTTATATTTGAATCAGATTTTTCTTTTAAAGTTTTGTCCATCAACTAAAGGCACAACCAGATACCTCACTTCTACTGGTGCTGATGGAACAATCTGTTTTTGGCAATGGCATGTAAAAACAATGAAGTTTAGGTAAGTTTAAAAGAATTTTACAAATGTTGTGAAAATTTAAACATGTTTATTTTATTTACTACTGTATTCTTAATAGTCCAAATATTTAAAGATGTCATATGTGTGTGTTTTTATTAATATCCATACCTATAATAATTGATGGTTAGAGATTTTAGAGTAAAATTTAATGAAGTCAATGTTGAAGTGACTATTTAATTCACATGTACAATTTTGGTAAGGAGCCTCATTTCTTGATAAGAAGATGTACTAATAACATGATAATATGTTAACAAGTATAAATAATGCTGATCATAAATTATATTTCTAAGATTTATTTATTTATTTAGGTACTTGAGGTTGAACTCAGAGGCACTCTAACATTGAGCCACATCCCCAGCCCAATTTTGTGTTTTATTTATAGACAGGGTCTCACTGAGTTGCTTAGAGCTTCACTTTTGCTGAGGCTGGCTTTGAACTTGCAATCTTCCTTCCTCAGCCTCCTGAGCCACTGGAATTACAGATGTGAGCCACCACGCCTGGAAAGATTTATTTAATTTTAACCTTAATGATCGTACTTACTCGCCATATCCCTTTAGTTTTCCTCTATAATATTGTCACTAAATAAATCAATATCCAGCAATGTGTTAAGCTTCTTGTCCATTAAGCCAGGCACAGTGGCATGCATCTATAAGCAGAGGTGTGGTAGGAGGATCCTTTAAGTCCAGGAATCTGAGGCCAGCTGGGCAACACAGTAAGACCGTAATCTCAAACAAAAAACAAAATAAAACAGAAAACAACTCTACAAAGATTCTTGCCTATTAAATGAACAAGGTAAACATTTTTTTAAAATCCTCCTGTTTCCTTCAGAGATCGCCCAGTGAAATTTACTGAGAGATCAAGACCTGGAGTTCAGATATCGTGTTCATCTTTCAGTTCTGGTATGTATAAAAATTTTAAGTCTTGAAATCTGAAAATATTAAATGATCTACTTGTAAAATGTGTTTTTAACTTTATGAAGAAAAATTTATGTACTTGATGTTAAAGGAAGCATTCCAACAATATAAACCATACACTAGTTGAATCTTTTTTGACTCTGATTAACATGTGATAATGTTTGAGTTATTATCTTTTTCATAATTTAATAATACATTTTATATAAGGTAGCAATAATTGGATAAAATGCAATCCTTGCTCCAAATATCCATTAACAAAATGTGTGGTGTCTTTCCACATTTAATACAAAAATTTTGCCCTGACTTTTACAGAAACCATAATCATTGTGACACAGTGCTTCTTATATTGCAAGGAATTCTATACTTGCTAACCTTTTTTCCCTTATTTTTTGTTGTGGTAAAATATACATGACCTCAAATTTATTGCAACCATTTGTAAGTGTACAGTTGCCTTAGGTGTATTTACCTTGTTCTGCATCCATTACTGCCATTAATATCTAGAACTTTTTCATCGTATTGAAGGCAGTTCAGTTTTATACTCAACTAGTATAATCTTTCTAAAGAGAATTATAACTAGAATATCTTAAATAATTTTGAATGTTATGCTTTTGCATAAAGTAGAAAGAACTTTAATATTTGTAATCCATAATCCTGTATTTATAGTTGAATTTTGTTGGGTGAATGATATGGGCATTTCAAAAATTTCTCTTGTTTTTCTTTGATTTTATTTCTTTTTCTCTAAAATATTCATGTGCTCTTAATTATTAGAAGATAACCTTGTGTTTCTTGAAGCCCTTCTACAAATAATGATGTAGCTTACAAGTAAGGAAGCAATCAGAGAATTTTAAAAGCTCCTTGGAATTTTTTTTTGTTTTTAATCTTCCAGGTGGAATGTTCATTACAACAGGTAGCACTGACCATGTGATTAGAATATACTATTTGGGTTCTGAGATCCCTGAGAAAATTGCTGAGTTAGAATCACATACGGTAAGAACAAAATATGAAACTTAAATATGTTTTGTAATTTTAAAACCTCTGGAAAACTTTATTTTCTCTTTTCAGATCAGTCTCTTTTATAATGAAGATAAGTGTGAAATTCTGAATTTATTATAGTTGTAGTACTCAGTATGGGCTCAATTTAACTGTATATCATAAGAAAAGAACTACAATATGCATATTTTATATACACAAACAGTGCACTAATAGTTTGTGAAAATCCTGTTTTTTAACCTGTTTTTATTAGACATGCAAGGTGCTTATTACTTAAAATCTGTAGTTTTAATAATGACATATTAATCGTGTCTTAGTGAAAGTCATCTTTTCTTTGTGCATGGTGGTGCATGCCTGTAATCCCAGGGGCTTGGGAGGGTGAAGAAGGAGGATCAAGAGTTCAAAGCCAGCCATATCAATTTAGTGAGGCCCAAGCAACTTAGTGATACCCTGTCACAAAACAACAACAACAACAAACTGGGGATGTTTCCCAGTGGTTAAATGCCCCTAGGTTCAATCCCTGGTTACCTCCCAATTTTTTTTTTAATGAACTTAGTAGTATGATCATTTTTAGAATGTCATGAAAGACTTGTGGAATCTAATCCTCCTTAGCAACAATTGTCTTAAATATAGAAAATCAGGTATATTTTGTAGGTAAAAGCTGTTGGTGGCTGGCACTTGTCCTCTTAGTCTCCACCAACTCTCTAGTGGCTTTTTAAGAAAGTGTTGAACTATTGTTATTTAGTTATATCCACATATACCTTTCTTAACATTTCTTCGTTCTCTATTTTTCCCCTTATTACTTCAAACAATTGTTTACTGTGAAGTATGGGGATATTTCTGTTTCAGCTCACAATACATTTCATGTGCCTCACTTTAGAAACTGTTTACTAAGCAATTAAAAGCTTTCAGCTTTCCAAGTGTTAATGTTACTACTCTTGTTACTGTTGACATCTCATTTGGAATAGTATTAGTGTATATCAATAAACACATACGTTCTCTAAAAGGTGATTTAAAAATATCTTGCAACTTGCAAAATCAATTGTTCCTGAAATTTGTGGTACAAGAGATTCCTGTTAGAAACCAAGGACAGCAGAATAAAATAGACATTATTATTGCTGTGGGTATATATGTGACTGCATGAGCAATGTAATTCTGCAACCTGTACACTCAGAAAAATGAGAAATTATATCTCATCTGATTCAAATGTAATAAATAAATAAATAAAATAAAATAAAATGAAATTACGATTAAAAAAAAAGAAACCTCCTCTCGGGAGCTTTTAGAAATAATTTCTTGCTTTTTGTCCTATCATTCAAACATAATTGAATATCTCCCTTATGAAGATACACTGAATCCAGCTGAACTCTTACCTTGTTTTCACTTATTCCTAGATACAAAATTCCTGAAATATTATTTAAATTTTGAAAGAAAAGTATAGGAAACACTGATGGTCTCTGAGACATCAATAGAAGAAATCTCTGCTAGAACATGATAAGAAGATATCTTTACAGTTATTACCAAAGTAGGGTATATATACAAGTGTGCTGAAGTATATTGAAAGCTAGGAGAGGAGAGAATAAATGAATGGGCAAGACTTGAGGGGTATAATAATGAGGAAATTTTGATTTAGTAGTTTGATTTGCAGGAGCCCAGATAAGAAGAAAAATATGAAAAGTTAAATACACACTGTTGAAATCAGTGATGGATGTTAGCCATAAAATATTCTTTCAGAATATTTCAAACAAAATATTGTACCTGTCAGTAAGAATTCAGAATCTATCAGATAAATACAATTGTGAAATCACAAAACAATATAAATCAGGAGTACTTCATTATATATGAAGACTATAATTTTTTTAAAAAATTAAAATACTTAAACAAAAAGATAGTTGACATTTTCTTTTAATTTAAAATTAAATTTAAATGCAGTTATAGATTGTGAAAATATACAATATTTGAGGATGCACTGTAGCTTTCTTATCAAGGACTAAAGTGAAGGAAATACCAAGTATTTGCTTATACTTTGCATTGTAAAATAATTAAATAAGCCACATAGGAATGAGAAAGTGATTAATTTTTATTCTGAAATTGAAAAGAATTAAGTGGGAAATTTCATTTAGCTATTATTCAGTCAGATTAATATTCTTTCTTTTACAGACCATAGGAAAGGAACACTCAGCACTATATATCTCTTTTTTTAAAAAAAATATTTATTTAGTTGTGGATGAACATACAGTATCTTTATTTATTTTTTTGTGGTTCTGAGGATTGAACCCAGTGCCTCACACATTCAAGGCAACCACTTTACCACGGAGCTACAGTCCCAGCTATCTCTCTTGATATATGGTTCATAAAGAAGTTTCAAATTGCTGCCACCTTAATACATTGTTTTATGCTTCATTAATTAAATTTTTTTCTTTTTAGAAAAGGAGTTTATTTTTAAAGGAAATTATAGCATTACAAACTACTCCATTATGCCTTTCTTCACATTTGAATATGAAGGGAGGTATACATTGTCTATTTTAAAAGTTTATTTTAACCAAAAATCTGTTCTTTTTTTATCTTAGGACAAAGTTGTTGCAGTTCAGTTCTGTAACAATGGAGACAGGTAATTATGTAGTACGTATTTGTGTAAAGAAATGTTTGACATGTTTTTCTACTAATCCCTGGGAACCATCTACCTCTACTGTAGATGTGTTATTTCCATCCCATAACATAGATTTAAAAAAACTTTGTATGTCCTTAATGGTGTTCAACACATCCCTTCCTGATTAATAGTCACCATAGTCTATAAGTTCTTCTTTTCTGAGTGATTTATTTTCTTATTTTGCTCTTTCCACTTCTTTTGGCAACAATCTTCCTATCTTAGTCAAGAATTGTGTTATTTCACCTGCCCATCTCTTCCCGTACAATATAGTTCTTTAGAAATCCTTAGTGTTTCCTTCTCTCTTGCCCATGGAATAGAAATCAAATGTTGCCCAACATTCAGAGCTCCCTAAAACTTTTTTTAGATTTATCTTTGATTCCTGATCTACTATTCCCCATATGAATCCCTATATTAAGCCTAATTGACTTTATGCACTATTCCTGACATGTCCTATGTATATTATTTTATCCGTTCCTTTGCTTACACTTTTCCATCATTCCTAACCCCAAATGTCATTCCCTGCATTCCTCTGACCTTTCCTTTTTTCTATCCTACATTTGTTCCTTCTCTATCCCCCTATTTTCCTATTTTCTCTTTTCTGTCCCTTCTTTTGATTGATCTAAATCTTATCTCCCTTTTAAGGTTCATGTCCTACCTGAAACCCTTTCCTGAGTGTTCCAGCCTTTTAATTTATCTTGACTTCCTCTGAACATCTATATCATTTGTTGCCTTTGTTTTTCATGATATATATATATATATTCCTATGTCTGTAAACTCAGAAATTCTATACAGATATCTGTGAACCCTCTATATTGTCTGGTCCCCTCAAAGTGATAAGTCTTTCCTGGTCTAAAATTTAACCTGGAATGGATTTAAAATTTTAACCTCTTAGCATAAACGTATATCTATGTATGTCTGTTAGGACTTTATATGGGTGACCACAGTTTATTTTTAAATATTTTGAACAGTAGGTGATTACCATGGTGAATTTGTACAAGTTTGTTAAATCCAAGAGTAAATAATTATGATCCTAAAAGTGATGTCTACATTAGGAATGATAAAAGCTTCAAGTAAATTTTAAGGTTAACTTATTGAGTTACAGCCTTTAGGATATATACACCTAGTATTCTTCCATGCTAAAATAACCTGAAATTTTATTTTCTTGCTTTTGTTTTCAATGAAAACACATTATTTTGTCCTAATTATTTCTGTGGCACATATTAAAAGATGTCCAATGTAAACTAAGTATAACAGTATCCATAGAATTATATATGCTTATATATATGAGTATGAAGAGAGACTTCTGAATTGCTTTTTCAATTATAGCACAACTCTAATATCAAAGTCTGCCGAGCTTTGTGCAAATGAGAAAACTGGGCCTGAATAGACAGGCTTATAGAGGATAAAATAACCCTAAATGCTTTAGACTTCATGATAAATTTCATTTATAGTGAAAACATTTTCTGAAAATAACTTCTTGTGCTTATTTGTAAATATGTCTTTAAAGAGCTTTATTTTGAGTAAGCGAAAAATAAAAATACCCAGTAAATACATAAAATTTTACATATGTGTAAATACATGTGGGGCATGCAGAATATGTAATGTATGTATACAATATATGAAAATAAAAATATTAGTATTTGATTTCTTTATGAGGTAGGAATATATGTGATTTTACTTTTGTTCATGCTCAAAATTCTTACTAGTTAAAGGTAAATAATAAATAATTATTATAAAGGTATATTATTATTTATAAAGGTAAATAAAAAATAATTCATTTAAAATATTTCCAGTTTTACTAATAGTCAAAGAAATGAAAATTAAAATAACAATTATTTCCTCCAGAATAAACAGATAATGCAAAATCATAATATCCATCATGGCTATAGGTTTTTACAAAGAGTGCTTTCCTTGCCAGGTGTGGTGGTACACACCTGTAGTCCCATCAACTTGGGATGTTGAGGCAGGAGGATCACAATTTTGAGGTCAGCCTCAGCAACTTAGGGAGGCCCTAAGGAATTTAGTAAGACCTTGTTTCAAAATAAAATATGAAAGGGGCTGGGGATATGACCCAATGCTTAAGTACCTCTGGGTTTAATCTCTAGTAATCCCACCCCCTCAAAAAGTAACTTTCCTCAGGTTTTCATGAGAGTATGAATTGTTTCAATAAATAATTAAAAAAAAACTATTGTGAAATAGTGTGGTAGTATGTATCAAAAGCTTTAAAAATGTTCCTTTTCAACTTAGCACAGATATTTATAGGGTTGTACAAAGACATGTAGAGATGTTCTTTACAGCATTAATTGTCATGTTGAAGATGGGAAATGATATAATATTAATCATTAGAAGATTTATTAGATAAATTTTGATAATATTTATATAGTTAAGCACTTATTAAAAGTGATGATAGTTTTATACTTGTCAACATAGAAATAAATCTACAAAATTCAGTTAACCTAGGGAAAAACATGTAGTGAATTTTTGTTTCATGTAAGGGAAAATATATAAGTATACATTCATGTATTTAATAAAGTCTAAAAGAATAGATACTAAAGTGTTAACAGTAACAAAATTGTGGGTGAATAAATATATTATTTTAAAATAGCATTTTTATTTGAGGTATAATTCACATAATACAGAATTTAATGCTATTAGTATATTTATAGTGTCGTGTAACAATTAGTACAGTTAATTTTTTGAACATTTTCATTGTCCTTTAAAGAAAACCCATACTGTTTAGCTGTCAACCCCAAATCTCCATTCCTTTTTCAACATTTCTGAGCATGCATTAATCTACTTTTCATTTCTCTTTATTTGCCTATTCAGAATTAATCCTTGTTGCAATGTATATTATTATTTTCATTCTTTTGCATTACTGAGTAATATTCCATTGTATAAATATATGCCATATACTGTTTACCAATTTGAGCCTCTGATGGACATTTGAGGTGCTTCTACTTTTGACTTATTATGAATAATGCGTCCATGAGTATGCATGTGCATGTTTTTTCTGTGGAATTATGTTTTTATTTCTTTTACAAAATATAACTGAGTAGGATTGCTGGGTCACATGGTAGCTTTGTTTAGCATTTATAGAAACTGCCAGGGCTGGGGATGTGGTTCAAATGGTAGCACGCTCGCCTGGCATGTGCGGGGTGCTGGGTTCGATCCTCAGCACCACATAAAAATAAAGATAAAGATGTTGTGTCCACTGAAAACTAAAAAATAAATATTAAAAATTCTCTCTCTCTCTCTCTCTCTCTCTCTCTCTCTCTCTCTCTCTCTCTCTCTTTAAAAAAAGAAACTGCCAAACTGTTTTCCAAAGTGACTGTGCCACCATTTTATATTCCCCCTAGTAGTGTATGAAGGTGGATATATTACTTTTCTAAGAAAAAAAAGATTCTAATTTTGGAGAAAAGTAACAAGACTATTTTAACTTTTTCTTTCCAGTTTAAGATTTGTTAGTGGAAGTAGAGATGGAACAGCAAGAATATGGCAATATCAACAACAAGAATGGAAGAGTATAGTGCTAGATATGGCTACTAAAATGAGTGGGTAAGAACTGATACTAGATGCTTCAGTGGTTCTCATAAGGCCTATTGACATATTTAATAATGAACATAAAATAGCTTATGTAAATAGATACTTTCAATTTAATTGGTACATGTGATATTTGCATCTTTATTTTGTCTCTAAGCAAATTGTCTTTTGCTGTTAATTAATAGATTAGAACAGTGCTGACTTATCCAAAATTCTGGTCTACTGTGACCCTAAGATCTCTGTGCTCTACTGATGTTCACAGAATCACTCTCTGCCTTATGGTTTTCTATAGGTCACTTTTTAAATATGTGACTTTACTACCTTTAGTATGAGGGTTGTCCATGTTAAATAAATAACATCATGTTTATTTCATAATCTTAACTGTTGAATAGAAGAAACATAATTATCTCTTTGGGACAATAAAATTTCTTTAATATATGAGCATGATATTAATTATCTTCTTAATAACAATGTGGAATTGACTGTAGTTATAGCCAGCAATTGTTATTGCCCCATTCAGTTAAATCAAAAGTTACAAGTTGGATGCTGTGGTACACTCCTGTAATCCCAAAGTCTCAGGAGGCTAAGACAGGAGAATCTTAAGTTTGAGGCCAGCCTCTACAACTTAAAAAGGGGCCCTAAGCAACTTAGAGCATGTTTTAATATAATTTTGTGTGATGCTGAGGATTGAACCCAGGTCCTCTCACATACTAAGCGAGCGCTCTACTGTTGAGTCACAACCCAGCTCTCAAAATAATTATTTTCTTAAAAAAGGGCTGAGGTTTTGCTTAGTGCTTAAGCACTCTTGGGTTAAATACTCCGTACCAAAAAACAAGTTAATGAATTACATAGTTTTTTTTTTAAATAAGTTCTATTAGTTCATTGTTTTTAGGGGATGGGTTACTAGAGATTGAAAAGAGGGCACTTTACCACTGAACTACATCCCCAGTTTTATTTATTTATTTATTTATTTAATCAATCAATCAATCAATATAGGGACAATGTTCCACTAAGTTGCTGAGGCCCACCTGGAACTTGCAATCCTCCTGCCTCAGCCTCCCAAGTCATTTTATAGGCATGTGTCACTATGCCCAGCAAGACCTATTAGATTTTTTTAAATAATAATGAAAGAAATACAGTGGCCATTATACATTTTCATATTGTCCAGTAGCCAATGTAACCTTGTGTTTTATTTTTCAATATAGTAATAGATTTATTTTCCATTTCACTTTTTTGAATTCTCAAAATTAAGTCCACATTGAAGTCCTTTTAAGATATTTTTTTCTCCCTGAAATAAGCTCATTTGTATTGCCCTATTTGCAAGTATATTTATGTAATTTTTTATTTCATAATATTTAAATGATAGTCGAGGTTTTTTAAAATTTAACCACTTACATGTGCCTGGAGAAATTAGTATAATTTCTTATTTTGTATGCACCTTTGTTAACAGTTTATAAGGTATGAATACTGCAAATTGTTTTGTTTAGGAGTAATTTACCATCAGGAGAAGACAAAGTCACTAAACTAAAGGTGACTATGGTGGCCTGGGATCGTTATGATACCACAGTTATTACTGCAGTGAACAATTTCCTTTTGAAAGTGTGGAATTCTACTACAGGGCAGCTTCTTCATACTTTATCTGTGAGTATTTTATTTTAGATTCATTAAAATGGTCAGGGGCTGGGCGTGCATCTCAGGGTTAGAGAGTTTGTCTAGCATTTGCAAAGCCCTAGGCTTGATCCTTGGTACCACAATAAAGAAAGAAATAAATTAATCATACAGAAATGAATGGAAGATTTATTCTTTAAGCCTGGCACAGTGGTGCATAGGTATAGTCCTAGTACTCCATAGGCTGAGGCTAGAGGATCCCTTAAGTTCAGGGCCAGCATGGGCAAAACATATTGAATACCTCATCTCAAAATAAAGTTTTAATGGTCAAAAGTATATTATTCTAGGAGATAAGAAATTTAAGTTATAGTTTTCTTTCTGTGACTATTAGCCCTTGGAAAAATATTTATTCCAGAGTCCTTTTAATAGATCAGCAAAATAGTGCTGACACATGATACACCACTAAAAACAGGTTTGAGGTCTTTTCAAGATCCTTTCCAGATCTAATATTTATTATGTTATGGTATGCTTTGAAGGATATATGTGAATATGTTTTAGCATGGGTTAGATTTTTTTCCATATTTTTATTGGTGTATTAGAGATATATAGATTAATGAGATTTGTTGTTACATATTCACACATGCATATAATATAACAATATAATTTGACCAATATCATTCCCTAGCACTGCCTCCCCACTCCTTGTCTATCACGTCTTAGTCCCTTTCCTCTACTGATCTCCCTTCGATTTTCATGAGATCTTCTCCCCACTTTATTTTCCTTTTTCTTCTCTAGCTTCCACATATGAGAGAACCCTTAACTTTCTGAGTTATATTTATTTTGCTTAACATGATGGCCTCTTGTTCCATCCTTTTTCCTGCAAATGTCATAATTTCATTTTTCTTTATGGCTCAATAAAACACATCTCACATTTTCTGTATTCATTAATCCATTGATGGATACCAAGGTTGGTTCTGTAGTTTGGCTATTGTGAATTATGCTGCGATTAACATGGCTATGCATGTATTACTATAGTAAGAGACCTTTATTAATCAGGGTGAATACTGAGAAGTGGGATAGATGGGTCATATGGTGTTTCCATGCCTAGGTTTTTAGAGGACCCTCCATACTGATTTCCATAGTGGTTGTACTAATTTAAAATCCCCAAAACAGTGTAAAAGTGTTCCTTTTTCTCCTCATTCTCTCCAACATTTATTATTATTTATGATCCTGATGACTACCATTCTGACCAGGGTGAGAAGAAATCTCAGTAAAGTTTCGATATGCATTTCTATAATTGCTAATGATGTTGAACATTTTTTCATATATTTGTTGGCTGTTTGTATTTCTTTAGTTGAGAAGTGTTTGTTTAATTCAGTTTCCCATTTATTAATTTATTTGATTTTTTGGTGTAAAGTTTTGTGTGTTCTTTATACATTCTAGATATTAATCCTCTGACAGATGAGTAGCTGGCAAAGATTTTCTCCCATTCTGTGGGTTCTCTCTTCACATTCCTAATTGTTTCCTTTGCTGTGTAGAAACTTAAATTTAATGCTGTCCCATTTATTAACTCCATGGCTTTATTTCTTGAGCTATAAAGGGTACTGCTGAGGTTGTTGTTGCCTGTAACTAAAAGCTGGAATGTTGACTTTGTGTTTTTTCCTAAGAGTTGCATATATTCTTGTCTAATTCTTAGGTCTTTGATATATTTTGACTTGATTTTTGTTCATAATGAGTGATAAGTGATCAGTTTCTTCTATATATGGATAACACCAGCTTTCCCAGAGCCATTTGTAAAAAGGCTGTCTTTTCTCCAATGTATTTTATTGTAATCTCTGTCAGGGATCAGATATCTGTAGATGTGTGTGTGTGTTTGTCTCTGTGTCTTATATTCTGTTCCATTGGTCTATAATCAGTTTTTATGCCTGTACCACCCACTTTTTGTCACTATAGCTCTGTAGTATAATTTGAAGCCAGATATTGTGATACCTTCAACATTGATTATTTTGGCTTTAATACGCTTTGGCTATTCTGGGTCTTTTATTTTTCCAAATGAATTTTAGGACTGTTTTTTTCTAGTTCTGTGAAGAATGTCATTGGTATTTTGATGGGGATTTCATTGAATATTTATATTGCTTTTGGTGTTATGGCCATTTTAACAATATTAATTCTGCCTGTCCCTGAACATGAGAGGTGTTTCCATCTTCTGAGATCTTCTTCAATTTCTTCAGTGTTCTAGAGTTTTCATTGTGGAGGTTGCCGCAGTCTGGCTGGGCACAATTCAGGAGCCACTTGTCAAAAGAAACAAACTAACGCCAAACAAAACAGCTCCTCAGGAAAAACCCTCAGAGCCCAACTGCCACCACCGGCTTCCACAAGCCTCTCCCACACACCAACCACCACCTCCCACAATCCTCCTGCTCTTGAGGCCGATTGGCTAGGTCGCGTGGGCGGAGCCA